CCCCAAAACCCCAAAACCCCAAAACCCCAAAACCCCAAAACCCCTAATTTCGCATACTTTATTGATCGTATTTATTTTTGTTGAATCTAACTTGGTCTATTTCCTAACAACATAGCAGCTGTCTTTCTTCCTGGATCTCTTGCTGGTGCTGGATTATTCTGTGAGTATTGGCCTTGCCTCATGTGATTGATATTCGAGGGTTCTTCTTCAGATTCTTCATATTCTCCTGAGCTTGAAGATTCTATCATAAAACCTCCTGGGCCTATAATTATAAATTTTAGTAAAAGAGACTCATGAATATGAATGTACCTCGCTTAGCAACTTGGGCTCCAATGTTTGCTCCTGGTTTAGGCATATCATTTTTCTTGACATGCTCCTCTGCTTTATTTGCTTGCATTTTGAGCAATCCTATTCATAATATTTTATTTTTACCTCGGGTTAATTGCTGGATCCTTTGCTGGGTTCCTTGGGACAAAAGGATCATCGCTATTCTTTGCAATAGAAGGCTCGTTTCTATTATTAGGAGGATTTATGTTCCTCTTCTTCATCATTTCATTTCTTCTATCTGTTCCACTATCGTCTTCATCGATGTTTATATTGATCTATTTAGGGAATTAGAGAGAAAGATCAAAATATCTTAAAAAGCAAGAATTGGTTTAAAGCCTACATCATTGGGGCTAGCAATATTCCTTGCTGGCTTTGGAGTATTATCACTTGGAGGGCGATTTCTATTATCCCTCATGTTCTGATTTTTATTAATATCCTTCTTTAGTTTATCTTGTAATTGCTGGTTCCTTCTGTCAGGATAAGCTTCCTTATCTTCTTCATTTCTGCCTCTTTGAGGACGATTTTTCTCTTTATCAGCTGCAGGTACTTTTTCTCCTGCATAGGCTGGATGATTTTTACCAAGTGGCTTTTCTTGATAGTATTGTAAATAAACAAGAAATCCTGTGCCTGCTGCTAATCACACTAGTGTGAAAAGCATCCACCACACTTCAGCACCTGTTGTATCAGCTGCTCTTGCTGTTTGCATAAATACTCCCAAAAATATAGCTGGAACTATTGTTCGATGTCTTGGCTCCAATTTATACTTCATTTAAATTTAAAAATATTCTACAAAATTTGGGGATAGAGGGGTTTTGGGGTTTTGGGGTTTTGGGGTTTTGGGG